TTTTGAACTGAAATAAAAGCAAAAAGGCTGAGGCTTTCAAGATAATATCATTTATCTTCTGAAAATCGGCTTTTTAAATGTCAGGCAAAACAATTTCACAATAGCTAGAATAGATCATGTCTGGCGTCACTGTATTTTTATTGGTCATTAATGTAACTTGAAAATATTAGACTATATCGTGGTGTTCAATTTTCTATCGATTTTTCAGACAGTCTGATAACACAAATGAAAAAAATGCCTGTAATTAGGCATCGTTCCTAAAGCTGAGCGACTTTGGAGGAAGCCACACAGCAAGATTCCTCTGCATGTAAAACTTCAAAGTGCTGCCTAAATTCACAAACTACAGGCAAACTCAAAGCCAGCAGGAAAAGCGTCAGTAAACAATGAGGAAAATATACTGCCTTCATGTTTGAAGGAGACGTTTTTCCCTTCTGAGAGAAGTTAAAAATGAACTGTTCACATCTGCAGGACAAAGCAGCCATAATGAGGTTGGCTGTGCAAGCACCATCTTGCACAGCCAGCGTGAGTGGCTTCAATGCAGTTCTCCTACCTGAGGATTGCCTACAGAAGACTGCGCACATCTTTTTCTGGATCAGAGGCAATTCAAAAATCTCAGGTGATCTTCAGGTATCTTCCTTGGAAGTATCGTCTACTAGTGCAGCACTAGTTGGCTCCTCTGGGAGAGGAATGGCAGAGGAATGACCCACTGGTGCCGTGGGTCAGCCCACAGTTAGCTCAAGATTAGGATGCAAAGGAGTTAGGCTGCACTCAATCTCTGGTAAATTCAGCTGATGAGATGGCTCTACTGACCCTCTCCATCATGGCAGCAGCTCTTGCTGCCTGACCCTGGGGCACGTGGCTCCTGCCAGCTGTGACTCAGCATAGTTCTGCTCGGCACACAGGCTGCTACATGTCGAGGGGCTCATCAGAGATGAGCAGAGGGTTTATGAACTTTCTGGAGCTTGTTTCCAAAAATCTCTTGCTCAAAAGTCATAACAAAGAAACTGTTCCTTAGTGAGACAATCTTTTTCATTTTAGCTTGGGGTTGAAACTTAAAGCTCCTCTCCTCTCCCTTCCCCTTGGAGGAAGGGGAACGGCTTGGAGATTAGCAACAGTCTGCAGGACCTATGGGGAATAACCATAAAAGCAGTCTTACTTTTTCTGGCTGACACTCCTACCATCCTGGTCCAACAACTGCAATGATATTGAGGTATGTGACATTGCAGAAGGCAAAAGTTGTGCAATTGTTGTCAGTTTTACTTTAATAATTTTTGATGTGATCCCCTAGAAGATCTTCTGTGCACCCCACATAACTTTTGTCACCGGAGAGTTAAAGAGGCAGCACATTGTGGCTTTGCCACCACCGCAAAGTTTCCTTTTTTCTGGGTAACATCATTTGGTGGTGGCCTCTTTCTTAGGATATTATCTGCCCCTTGTTACATTCATTAGACTCTATAGAATCCCTTTCTTATACTAAATTACATCTTCTCAGTGATATATGATTTTATACAAATATTGTAGTCTTTTCTGAATGATGTCCAGAGGTCTGAGGAGGAGACAAGTGAAATGCATTCTTCAAATGTTGCCTGGCAGGGCACGTCTTCATTGGGAGATGTTTTTTTATTAACCTCCCACACAAACAGAAAATCTTCATTTAATTCAGACACCTTTTATTATAGTTTGAAACTACCAACAAAGTAACGAGGCACAATGAGAGCTCTCCATGCAAGCAAAAAGCCATGACACCCTGCTGTTGAAGATTTGCAGGGCTTTGGAAACATCCTGAATTCAAACAGGAGTGTAGAAGTACTCTTAATTCAATCCAAGAGCAAGTTAACACTGAAAGGGATTGCCCTACTCTCTCCACACCTGTCCGTGGGGTCCCACTGCCCCTTTTGCACTGCGTCTACACAGTGGGTTGGGTCAGTGTGAAATGAAATCATTCTTCCATAAGATGACTCACATTCAAAGCCATACCCTGGGATCCCATTATTAAATCCCCCACAAGTAGTCTTCCTAAACCCTTCCTCTTAAGGGTGCCAGAATAGTGAAAGCAGAAGGCATTTACATTTCCTCTGAAGACCCAGTCCTTCCATTGGCCCTCAGAGCAGTTTGCTGACTAACTCTTCTATGTATTTAAATAATTTAAAATATGAATAAATTCATTGATGCCTAACGAAGAGGTGGACTACTGGGATGCAGTAATGACAACACAACCAAATTGAAGCTGAGGAGGTGGGGGAAATGAACCCATAACAATGGCAAGCGGTATCGTCTGCTCAGGCGGCAGGAGACAGCTGTGACCACATCTGAAATACGAGAGTCTGGGGAGATACGGAGCAGCATCTATCTGCTTTAGAACAAGCAGAGCTGAGCAAAAACCAAGCTGCTCTTTTTGAGCGGCAAAAATGTGGTTATTATACAATGACTGAAAACTAAATTGCAGCTTTTATGTCTCACTCCAAATTTTCCAATTCAGAAAGTATACAGGCAACGTTCCTGTGCCTTTTATTTCCCACTGCCATTTAAGAAGTAGAAGTCTCAACTCCTGTCAAACAATCTGTCACCCCAAGCCATTGACCTGGACAACTGATGAAGGCATGTTACAGATGTAGCAGAAAGATTGAAAATATTAAAAGCCAGATCTCAAGTAGTGTAAACTGGCTTTGGTCCAGCTTACACCAGCTGCTGATCTGCTCTGTAAGTGTCTGACAGCAGTAACAGTTGGAGGCATGACGGTTTGCATTCACTGCACGCTGATGAGGGCTACCTAACTAGGTGTGCTTTGCTTGTGTTCATGGCCAGGAGATTGATTGAATTGAGCATTTTTAAAATCCCTCTTTCTTTAACTGTTCTTCGAAGAAATCGTTACATGCCACAGTCAAAGCAGCAACCAGAATGACAAATTCATTAAAATCCACTTCATTGTCTTTATTGGAGTCCAGATCTTTCATAATCTTATCAACCAGAAGGGGGTCCTTTTGGCCCTAAAGAGAAAGAAAAGTGATTTATTTGCGCAGATCTCAAACACATAACTCTGACACACTGCTGGTGCAACCAGCTGCTATGTCACAAGCCCCAGTGCTATTAAATGAAAGGCTGTACGAAACATGAACCTGAACAGTAATATATCACTAACCACAGCATTAAAATCTTACCTCTGGAGTCCCAAAAGTGCACCGCAACAAAAACCAAAGACAATGCAGGTCTTAGAAGGAATACAGGTACTAAACAGGCACTGAAGTGAACCAAACAGATTTTAGGAGCTGCTGAGCACTGATTTCTTTTGATAAGATGGATCAATAAAGTGCATTTTTCTGCATCATCCCTTAACGAACAGTGCATAGGTTTTCAACAGGTTATTCATAAGTGGTCATTCTATACACCCATTCATCACATTCAGAAAATCTCTACTCGGCAAACAACACATCCGATTCAGTGGGAATACAGACTGTGAATCTCATAAAAATAAATCAATGGCCAAGATTAAAAGAAAATCCAATTCAAGGAAACAGATACAATGTAAAAAAGTCCTGCTCCTGGTGATGGGTTCTGCAACAATTTTTACAATTAAGAGGATACAGAAAAACAACTATGAATCTGGTCGTTATTCCATGAAGGACATCCATGCTGTGTAATGCAGAACATTACAAATATGCAAAGAGATATTCAGATCAGCAGCTTATTGCTGAAAGGGTTTTCTTAGCAACTCTGCAGGGCACACAAGCAGCTGTACTGTGTCTGTGGCCATTGTGCACAAGCTACTTTCTTGTCTCATGAGAAGTAGTGGCTGGATTTAATTCTTTGAAGGACTCATCTATGCTCTATTATTAAAAACAAACAAACAAAACCCCCCAAAAAAACTGATTAAAGCCTGATTTTAGTATCGATTTTGCTACAGCTTCTAGGCTGCCCTTGCCCTCTTGCTCAGAAGCGCAGACAAGTGCGCAGAGCAGAGGTACTTGGCTCGGCCGCTGGTGGCATGTGGCAGGGCACTGGGGCTGGACCACCCTTTGAAAATACATTTCTCAAATGGGGCATTTGATCTCATATCCTTCTGTCCGGCTCCACAAAGACAACTGTCATCTGGGAAGCTGCGGCAGGATGTGCCTTGCAGAAGGAGATGCTGTACCTGAACACATGGATAGCGGCTCATCCCACTCATGAAACAGCAACACAAAGAGGTTCAGAAGCTGCGTCTTACTGAAAGAAAGTCAGTGAGCTCACTGGTGAGGAGCTCCTTGAGTTCTCCTTTACTGAGCTTGTATCTGTCTCCTTCTTTGCCCGAGTAGTGATGGAAAATCCTGATCAAGGTGTCCATTGCCTCCTCCAGTGGTGTGGACATAGCAGTGAGTGGGAGAGCTGTGGGACAAAGATTCCAGAATCAGTGAGATTGCACAGGAGCCAAACCAAAGGCCAGTCTCAGGGAAGGGATGAGAGAAATTGTTACCAGTACTGAAAAGAAATGGGTTTTCATTTGATCCATCCTGTCAGCTGTGTGTGAGCAAGGCTAGACTGTTATAAAAGAAAACATTGTCCTGAACTCACTAGCAATTGCTTCGAAAAGGTAAACGGAAAGGAAGGCCTTTATTTAAGAAAGTGATCTACTGTGCATCCATTTTGCAAAGCTACTGTAAAAGGAAGTCTCTTGTACCCATAGCTAAAAACAAAGGGAAAATGAAGACACACCCTCCTACCTGTTCATTCAAAAGTTTTCTCAAGAAAATGAGATCAATAAATGACAGTGGCTAAAGTGGGTGTGCATTTATACAGAAGGCTCCACACCACTTTCTTAGGTGGTTAGAGGAAAGTCATCAGTAACAAGGACAGAAGCATCAGCTTTCAATTTATTTGGTCGTGTTTGCTTGGGCTGACCTTTTTTCCCACAAATTACCTGGAATAAACAAATGTGAGCTAGGCATCTCAGAGGCTTTGCTTCATCGAGCATGCAGTAAGAAGGTACATAGGGAAGCACCACCAAGAAAAAAGATAGAAATACAATTAGTTGCTGAGTAGCTGTCTCGAATAATAACAAAAATCAGAAATCAGGTGAAAGGGAAACATTATGTTGATTAAGCCACAGGAGAGAGATTAAAAAACTAGAATAAATTAAAGGTAAAACAGGAGTCCTGAGCAATATCACCATGCAAAGGCTAAGACTTACCTGCTGTACAGGCTGGCTGAGGTGTATGCAAGAAAATACTCAGATCACAGAAGGTGATGTTCACCTTCCTTTCAAAACCCATGCACAGGCTCTTGATTATCAGGCTGAGAGGGTGGATTACACAAATAGAGACAGACGTATAATTGTCACAAGGATGATGGGGCTTCTGTTTCCCTCTGCATTTGCCTACTCTGTTCAATAAAACCGCTCGCTGTAAATGGGTCACTAAAATATTCACCAGGCAGAGTAGAAGGCTGTGTGTGGAACATACGATGTATTTTTTATCATTTCACCTTCTACAAACATGCCTATTCGGGGACCTGAAGGTCAAAATTAGAAAATGCTAACGATCACCAGGTCATTACAAAACAACTTTCCCCCATTTTCAAAAGAACTCTTTCTAATCTGTCTCTTTGCACTTCTACAGCTGAGAGTCTAAATGCCTTGGTGCTGGCAGCCAGTGCTCAAAGACACTTGGGTACCTGGCAGTAAGCTTGTAGGTGAGTTTGCCACAAATCCCTTGAGATATCTACCTTTATTGTCAGATGTCTCCGTAAGCCTAAAACATTGGCCCTTGCTGAATGAAATTCTTGCTGTAGCATGTGTCCTCAGGAGGAAATGAGGAAACCAGTTTCACAGAAATGTGTGTCGAAAATGACAGTGTGCACTGATCGAGAGGCTTGGCTTCATGTTTATTAGTCCTGCACAACAACTGCAGTTCAGCATCACTCCTTTAATAAGTGATCTTCCCCCAGGAGGGCTTCCCCTGCCCCGAGCCCAGGGACTCGCTCACCCCGGGGTCGATGGCTCAGAGATGCAAGAAACAGCAGCTTCACCATGGTAGGCCCTAAGTACCACCCAAAATACCAAATGACAGGAGTTTTCGCGATAGCCACATGAAACGGACAACTGCTTGCTTTGGGTGTGCTTTGCCTCAATAAAGCCTTCCACCTGCTGCACACACATGTCCAGCGAGCACAACCATGCAGATACACGGTGAGAGGGTACACAGCTGCAACTCTTTCTCTCTTTTATCCCAGCCAGGGGGAAAGGGAATGAGACAGGCATTGTTTTCAGCTCTGAGAGCCTTGTAATTTTGAGTAGATCTCAGCCCACACCTTTGCCTGCCTCCTTTCCCTCCAGACATGATGTTTCTTCCGTTTGTGCTGCTGTGACGTCTCCACAACCTGAAGGGTCTTGGCTGCGCCTCCGGGAGAAGGGGAAGGAAAAGGAGGGTCACATAAAAGTGCTGGATCCTAGTGGTACGGGAGCTGGCCATGTGTAGAGCGTTGCTTCCAAAACAGTAGGCGGGCTCTTCTGGTTAGAGGTCCCTGCGGACATGCACAACACGGCGTGCGGAGTGTACGCCTTCACGTCCTGTCACTATGGTCATGAATGCTCACCAGGGACGAGGAGACCCAATGCTCAGGTAAAGTTTAGAAAAGGTGCAGGTGCAAACCAGCCTGGAAAAGTTGATATGCAACAAAAGGAATCTAATCCCTCCTGGAGTCAGAGAAGAGTTGGGGAGGAGAGGTGCTCTCCATACCTCTTCTGTATTTGGAGAAACCTAACGAGTGCTCAGTTTTGTATGGAGGGAGTCCCTGTGCTCCAGGAAGCATAAAGATCTAGCTGGGCCATAGGCAGTATGGCAGTATGTGGGAGAAGAACACGGGTGATGTCAGGAGCAGCACAGCTCTCCCACTCAGATCCTGAGCATTCTCGGTGTCTTTGCAGATGCTAAGAAAAAGCATGGAGTCTCTTATGTAGTTACAGCTATGCAGGGCAATGTCTTGCCTGTGATTCACTGTCTATAACTATTTCTCAGAAACATTAACTGGGGGTTTTGCCAGTTATTCAACAACAGTTTCACTCACAACCAGAAAAAAAACACGGCTGAGTTACTACATACGTATAAAATCCTTCTGTTTGTCTCTATATTACATTGATCCTCTGACTGATGAATATTGCAAACTAATTATCTAAGCAGAGTCTACAGGAGGTACAACTTCCAGGAAGCAGGTATAAACTTTCAGATCTGCCATCCGTAGGACAGAAGAAAGAAGGGTTTCCTCTATCATCTCCAGGACATCAACTCAATAATTTATACAGTGATATAATCTGTGCAGTCTCTTTCAATAGCTACTTTCACTCCAGTTAATTGTGTAAGAAACTCTCTATTCCATGCTGGTGGATGACATGTACACAGGGAATGGCACGACTGAGCTTGTTCGTTTAGAGGTCCATCTAATTTGCTGTGTCCGTCCCTTTCCTCCCTGGCTAGTGAAATCCTGCGAGTGGCTCCAGTAACAGCAGATATCTCCTAACTCCTGAGAGGGCAGGTCCCAGAGGCTACTCAAAATTCACAATTATCAAACAATCTCTTTTAATCCTTCACCCAAAACTCCAGCACAATCTGGTTTTGTATGCTAATAGACACTGAAGATAACTAAAGTCAGCGCACCCTGCGAGCGCTTCTGTATCAGGGCAAGACCTCACTCCGTGTCAGCAACCACCACTCCCCCATCAATCTTCCCTTGTGCTGAGGTTTCTGTCAGGCTAAACAGAGGAGCAGCAATAGATATGTGTTTGGCAGAGGGAGGAGGACTGCAGTATGATTGTCGACATGGTGAAGATTAATGCCTTCCTCATTCATGACTAAACTTTTTCTGTCGCAACCTGCCAAATCACAGCAGTGTTGCTGGGAAGGCAACTCTAGAGGTGCCTAGTCCCACCTCCTGCTCCAAGTGGGATGATCACCAATGGCAGATCATGTCAGCTCTGGCTTTGTCCAGTTAATTTTCGAAAACGTCTAAGGATGGAGATTTCACAAGTTCTAGGGTAACCTGCTCTAGTGCTGTGCTACCTGTCTGAGGAAGATGTTTACCCTAACATCCAGTCTGAGCATCCAAAGCTGCAATTGTGGCCCTTGGATCTTCTTGCACCACCCACCACTACGACAACGAGTTTGACTTTGTTGACTTTATAAATTCCCTTCAAACAGTCTTGGCACCTCGCACACACTCTAAACTTGAAAGCAGCCTGTCCTGTGATTCGCCCAATCTAGTTCCACGTTCTAGTGTGCCCTTCATGTTATGTGTTTGCTCCTTGCAGACTGCCCAGCTGTGACCTTCTTCTAAGAAGTATTTCAATATTACAGTGTGCGCTGCAAAATCCATGGCTGTCAGAAGCAGAAGGGCAGATTTTTCACCTGGCATGGCACAAATACTCTATAAGGCCAAATTCCACCATCTTTGCTCAAGCAGTAATGGATGCTAGGCTTACAGAACAAGTCAGCCATCTGATTTCATCAGAGGCTGCTGAAAGAGGCAGAGGTTGTTCCTTGCTCGTAAACCTGAGAAAGGACCAAAAAAGCTATAACTGCTTCCTTTAATTTTTGTTGGGGTAATGTAGAAGTACAACCAGCTAGGAGGCTCTATGAGACTGCTCTCGCTCTCCTACATGGAGATGAGGCAATCAGACCATAGGCAGAAAATCTTATCACTGATCTCCGCCGCTCAAAAAACTGAGCAGAATTCTGCCCTGTATGAAATCAGTCAGCCCTTGACACAGGTCAGCAGCCTTCTTCCTCCACAGCTGGGAAGGACAAGGTTTCTTCACCAGGATTTTTCCTTGATCTCTTCTTGAGACAGAGTAACGCAGGCTGCCTTTAAGCCAGAGCAGCCTATACAGTGACAGTCTAAGCCATGGTAAAATACTGCTTAGCTTAAGTGGGAGGATCTCATTCTTAGGGCATCTGGTTTTCAACATTTGCCAGAATGCACGTGGCGTATATTTTCTCACAAATAATTATTGCACTGGGAAAGGCAAGTCAGCCTCCCACCCACATCCTGTCATTATTTATTTTTCCCAAACTCACACTGTTCTTGGGATGGATGTGTTTGGAATCAATGTTGTAATCTCAAAGTGGCAAAAGGTGTGATGAGAAGCAATAGGTAACACTCCAAGGCTCGGGAGGACAAGTACACTGTACACTAAAGAGCTTACCGTAGATGAGAGCCTAAATTAGACTAAAAAGCTTACTAATATAGACTGAAGAGCTTATAAGAGACTTACATCTGAACTAGTCTTTCTTGTTAAGTTATAATGAGCTTTTTTACATTTTTATGATTCTTAGCATTTTCATTGGTGGGTTTTTTTTCCATATCCAGGTGGTTAATTGA